AAAAAGCAAATAGATAAAGCTGTAGGTGTAAGAATGCTTGGTTATAACTTTGGTTATAACCAAAAGCTACAAATAATCTAAATATATATCAATAAGGTAGTCATTAAATAAGTTATGAACCTTCATGAATATACTACATGAAAATGATTACATACAAATACATTTATATTGTATTATTGTTAAAAATAAAGATTGAAAAACCAGATTAAAAAGTCAAACTTAATAGTCAAATTTAAATCACAATGTTTTCAGAAGATACAATCGTTAGTAATTTGCGGAGAAGGCATTGCCTCTTTAACGTTCAGGTCTGGGCGATGATATCCTCCTATTTTAGAACAAAGACCATCATGCCATTTGCCCTTTTGGACCAAAAAAAAAATTTTCCTTTAGATGTGGTGTGTGATGTAAACAATAGCAATTTTTTTTAAAAGCAGAAATAATAAGACAAAAAAGGAAATGACAGCCTTCCTCTTCTCAATGTGAAGACAGGGTCTTACAGGATTTCACAGACTTCAAGTTCCTTCTATGTAACCCCAGACTCCTGATCCATTCATAGTCTGATTCTCCATAATCTCCATTGTCCAGAGTGTCTTTAGCCACACACACGGAACTAGTCAGTGTGAGAAGATCCTATTCCTTGCTAGGATCTCCATTTTTATCAGCTTTCTCTTGGAACAGAGAAGTTGTAAGTGAGGGCCCACAGATGCTCCTCAGCTTTTCTCTGTACCAGCTGTAGGAGGGAGAGTGGTACTGATTGCTGGGCACCTTGGTGGTCATCTGGGGATTCACATGGCCAGCATGGACAGAGAGGACTTGCTTGCACAGTCACCTCCTCCCCACGGTGGCAGTGGCTATAACACACTCTTCCTAGAGCCTGCCTTGTTGCTAGATTAGACACTTGTACAGTTTTCAAAACATTCTCTTTATTTTCTTTTTTTCAAGATGGAGTCTCGCCCTGTTGTTCAGGCTGGAGTGCGGTGGCACAATTTCAGCTCACTGGCAACTTCTGCCTCCTGGGTTTAAGCAATTCTCCTGCTTCAGCCTCCCGAGTAGCTTCGATTACAGGCACGCACCACCATGCCGGCTAATTTTTGTATTTTTAGTAGAGACAGAGATTCACCAAGCTGGCCAGGCTGATCTCAAACTTACCTTTCCAGTTCACTCAAGAATGGTGGCTTAACAGAGCCACCATGTCCAGCCAATTTTCAAAACATTCTTGAGTGAACTGGTCTTTGTTGAACAAACGTAGCCATTTCTGTGATACCTAGAGCCTCTTTTTATTTTATTGGTGAGAATTTTGACAGCAGCACCTCAGTAAAGAAAGCCATGAGTGTGACAGTGCTGGAGTTTTCTGTTGTTGGACCCCACAGTGCACATGGCAGGGCATTTTTTCAGAGGTGCACATGAGGACAGGGCATTCAATCCAGCTTGGCCTTTGCTTGTTTGGGGCCTTCACAGCAGAAAAGGTTTTCTTGATTTCACCATAATTTATAGCCTACAAATGCTATAGCATGTCATTTATTGGTAAAATTTGAAGACTCAGTGAGAAGCTATTTTTTTTTTCGGGCAATTTGTCACAAAACCTCTTAGGATATGAAAAGTCATCTCTGTGTCCATTAATTGTGCTGTTTGGGCGTCAGCCTTTTAAATTTCTTGTCCAAAAAAATGTAATTTCACATGCAGGCATTCTGAGATCCTTGCCCACTGTGTGACTTTTCTTTCTCCCGGCATTAAGTTCTGCTATTAAGTAGTTTGCTTTTTGAGCCTTTTTTTTAACTGAACATGACTTACAAAAAAAAAAAAAAAAGCTTTACTCTATTTTAAATGGCCACTAGGATCTCAAAATAATCAGTTTCTTATCAGTGGCTGTGACTTGTAGTTAAGTGATTTTTTTCAGTTTTGTTGGATCCTTCACTGCATTAATAAATTGTTTTCACTGATGATGCAACTTGAAAATTATCCATCCAGGTACAACCTTATTAATAAGTAGTTCTCATCATTGAATGGACTTTTTTGTGTTCCCCTGTGCATTAGTGCAGTGAAATGATTCAGAAGCTTGAAATTCGTTGTTTTTATCTAGAGAGAATTGTCTCTATGCCTAGGATTAGAATCTTCCTCTCCTAGCTTGTACACTTTAGAAATCACATTGAATTGAAAAATTTCCTCCAGTTTTCTTTGATCCAAGTAGAGCGTGTTTGCTCCAGCTGGTGGTGCATAAGGGAAGTTTGTGACAGGTAAATCTGAAGAGGCTGACATTAGACTGCTGTATAGAGCTCATCAGCTACCAGTGGCTTCCCCTGTCTCCTATAAAAAAAAATGGACCAAATCAAGTGAACATAATCTTTCTGCTTACTGCCATATGAGGCTTAAAGACCTATGATAAAATTGCTGTAGGGGCTGCAGTCTCTTTCCATCACTGTCAATATGCATTGCTCAGTGTACCAAGCCCATTGCAGGAGCTACAAATGGTATAGTATTGTCCTAGTATTTTATTGTCTTTAGTGCATATTTTAAGGCAGTACATTGATAGAAATCACTCCCTTGCATGGAGCTCCTAGTGGCAGCTCAAGGACATCCTGGGATTCCACAGAACCCATGTTGAGAAATCTTGATTTAGACAGTTGTAGCCATACAGAGCTTTTCATATTTAGAAGTGTGAGGTAGAAATAATACATCCCCTCCCCAAAGATGTCCACATCCTAATCCTCAGAATCTGTGCATATGTTTGTTACATTACTTGGCAGCAGAGACTTTGCACATGTGATTATGTCAAGGATCTTGAGATTGGGAGGTTATCCTGCAGCTCCTGTTTAGGTTCTATGGACAATTTAAAAATGACCAAATGGGGTGTGGTGTTTAAAAGCATGGACTCTGGTGCCAAACTGATGTATGATTGTAGGCAGATTACTTAACTTTTCTGTGTCTTAGTTTTCACTTCTGAAAAAATGGGACTAACATTAGCACCTATGTTATGGGGTTTTTGGGAGGATCAAGTGAGTTAGTACATGTAAAGGATTAGAACAGTGCCTGGCACATCCTAACATGTTCTATAAAAGTTAGCTGTTTATTATTTATGCAGCTTTTCCATATGGAAGAACATTTATTATTTCTGATCCTTGCTTTAGATATAACGGCAGATGATCTAGCTGGAAACACACAGCTTTTTGTGGATCATATATGATTTCTTTTCTTACTCCAGTTACAGTCTTCAAGTTTTATAAATGTAGTTACTTATTCTCATATTACTCTGTACAGTGAATACATTCATTCTTCTTTTAGAAATCTTGCTTTTAATGCATTGCCTTGATTTCTAATTACTGTGTGGTTTTATCTTTGATACACAAATATGTTAACTTTCTCCTCTAACCCAGGAATGGTATAGTATTTTATCCTAGTATTTTATCTTCTTTCAGGCATATTATATAAGGCAGTGCACTGATAGGTGTTTTCAGGCTACATGTTTTCTAGAGCATGATAACCTCTAGTGCGGTAAAATTCGTTTATTCAACAAAATATTTCTGAAATGAAGATCTCTTTATTACTAGTGCAAACAATACAAAAATGAACAGCTACTCATACCCATCTTTCAGGATCTCACCATGTAAGACAAAGACAGAAAAAGGACACCATGATAGTTAGAGGTGGACACAGTACATTATGAGTAAACAAAAAAAGGGCTGAGGGAGTTTAGCAAAGGTAATCTACCTAGAACTGAGACTCAAAAGAAGTGCAGGAGTTGACGGGGCAGAGATATAGCACATTAGAAACTACTGAAAAATATACTTTTCTATATTATCTGTCATCTTAATTATATAACTCCAGCTGTTCGTTAGTAAGGATCAAACTGAACCTTCATAATTGAGTGAAATGTTTTATGTTCTACCCTGAATTAGGGAAGAACTGAGTATTTTTTCGGCTTGGAATCACTGCCTCCATATTACATTATTAGAAATATATTTAGTAGTTAGATTAAACCTTATTATAGTCCCAGGCAAAAAAAAAAAGTTGTTTGTTGGTAAGAAAGAAAGAAATGTCAGCTTCATCATTTCAACTAAATATCTAGACAATTACAGGTTATGAAACTGATTCACCTAAAAGTAGAAGAATTTTTAATGTTTACTTGGGAGAAAATAGTCTGTCATAAAAAGAACTTCTCTCTTGTCTGTCAGAAACCACCATAATCAAAGTCAAAATGACAGAGAACTAATATCTTTTATATGTAAAGAAAATTTTAAGTTATGACCACAAAGACTCCAAACACATTCGAAAATTGGGCAAAAAACATGAACAGATAGTATACACACACATACACACACCTCAATATATACAAATAGCCCTTAAACATATTAAAAGATACTCAACTTCACGTATGATGAAAGACACACAAATTAAAACTACTGTTGCTGAAGGAGTAGGGAAATGGACTCATTCATCACTGGTGGGAATAGAAAATGGTAATAGTCCCTTTAAAGGAGAGTTCAGCAATAGCTCAACAGAAACAAAAATAGACAATTTTTCTTAGTTTAGCAATCCTGTTCCTAGGAATTTACTCTGAAGGTTCACCTCCAATAATATGGAAACAATTTTTTAAAAATACTTGCATATATACAGGGTTCTCTATTGAGGTATTTTTGGTGATAGTAATATATTAGAAACAACCTAAGTGCCATACGAAAATTGGCTGAATAAGTAGTCAATATATGGAATATTACAGAAAGTAATTAGGAAAATTACTATTCAGTGATTTTTTTCAGAATATATTGTTAAATCAACAAGATACATATATCAGGGTAATTAACATTAGCGGATTAAGGAGAAAAATCTCATCTTCTCAATAGATGCAGAAAATGTTTTCGATTACATTCTGATTTCATTCATGATTTTAAACATTTCTTACCAGACCAAGAATAGAACATCTTTAATCTGATAAAAGGTAACTATAATGACATTTAGATCCTTAGTCGGATTTAGTGATAAAATGGAAAACTTACCTTTTCAGATCAGGAACAAAACAAGTGTGTCTACTATTATCTCCTTTCCTCAACAGTGCTTTAGAAGTTCTGGCCAGTGTACTAGTATAAGAAAAAGAAATAAAATCTAAAAATTAGGGGGGGAAACCTGTCTCTTTATTTGCAGATGTTATGAATATGTATTTCGAACATACAAGAAAACTTGTAGATAAATCATTAGTATTAATAAGAGAGTAGGGTTCCTGAGTATAAAATCTGTACATAAAAATCACTTCTTCCCCCAGCAGAGATATTATTAAAAAATTAATCCTATCTCTAAGCAATAAGTGCTCAATGAAATATTATAATGTCTATGATAGTATCAGAAAATATCAAGTACCTTATAATAAGCCCAACAAAAGTATAAGACTTTTGTGAAGAAAAGAATAAAATCTATTGAGAAAATTAAGAAATCTTTAAAAAGTTGGTAGATCAGAAGAAGCAATTTCTAAAGATGTGATTCTTTCTAAAATTGATCTGAACTTCACTGCAATTCCAACAGGTGATTTTTTTGTTTTTCTTTTTTTGCCTCAATGTTGATAAGGAAAAGAATGGGAAATTAGACTGTACAATTATTCAATTAAATACACAATTATTGAGTTGCGAATTATTTTCTCCATCAGTAGTAACTAGTAGCAAATGCCTGTAGTCTCAGCTACTCTGGAAGCTGAGGTGGGAGGATTGCTTGAACCTGGGAGGTCGAGGTTGCAGTGAGCTGTGATTATGCCACTGCACCCCAGCCTTGGTGACAGAGTGAGACCCTGTGTCAAAAAACAAAGTAACTAAAGGATTTGTTGATCAACTCTGGTGGTATATTTCTCAAACGTTATAATAATATAGCAAATATTTTAAAAGTTTTTTTCTTTGTTCTACCACTTCATATTGAGATGCAAAGTATATTATATAAATGAATATATCCAAAGTATATGCATATGTATATGAGTTATTAATTATGTGGTAATTTATAATTGGGCTTCCTAGAATGACTTGAATTTCTGACAAGCTTGAATAATTTCTGGTTTAATGGTGACTGTGAGACATGGAAGTGCAGATTTCTCTTGTGTATTAATAAATATTTGAAAAGAGTAATGCCAAGTGTTTGGGAGTTTGGGAACCAAGATAATGCCTGGCTAGGTACTAAGTCAGTTACGAGCAACACTGTATCTTCTCTGTGTTTGTTAAAATGTTTACTCTGAAATGACGTGGAGCTTTTATTGCATTTTCTCTGTTGCTAGGTACTTTATTACCAAGGTTGCCATCAGAACCAGTAATGACATTAGTCACTATCAGAATTGAGAAAATTGGTTTGAAAGATGCTGGGCAGTGCATCGATCCCTATATTACAGTTAGTGTAAAAGGTAAGTAACTCTGTTTACTTCTTTTTTCCTCTGGTGAATTTTATAATGCTCATTTGGGACTGTTTTTTTGGTGGTAGGGCAGGGAGTCTCATGTGTGTGACAACTCATTTTAGTTCATTCTATGATGAGGCAAAGTCCCTGGAAGAGATCATCACTTCTTCACTGAATACTTCTGAGAGATTTACTTATTTTCTTATTTATAACTTACATTCAGTTTTGCTTTTGAGTTTTTCTTTGTGTATATCTTTTTGTTCTTAAGATTCTGTCTAGGGTTTTGGCTAGACATACACATCGTCTTCAACAGCAGACTCATTCTTTAGGATACAGGTTAACAGAATGTTTCTCACCTTCCAAAGGTGTGTAGGTTTGTTTGCAAAGCCCAGTGTTCTGTTACCCCTTTCCTCCTGCATTAGGCCCTCTCCTTCCTGTTCAAGAGAGAGTTCTGCATCGGAGAATCAGGCCTTAAGTAACTCATCAGTGAAGACAGGGAGCTAGAACAGATCCATAGCATTCGTGCTCTGAGTGTAATCCCGTGGAGCGTTCAACAAGTGAAGTGCTTCTTATCATTCACCATGTCACTATGGTTAGGAAGCATGATTATTCTTAGGATTTTTTTTTTTTTTTCCTATCCAGTGTGGCAGTTCATTATTTCTTAAAAACAACCTTTTCACTCTTTCAGAGGGAAACCACATTGGTTGAATTCTTTCGTTGTTGCCATTCATACTTTATTTATAAGGTACTTAACAGTCTTTTAAAAATAATTACTGGATAATTGAGAATGAAGTTGTCATACTTCTATCCAGAAACATCTGCACAGCTCATCCAAGGGGCTTACTTTAATCTGTAATTTGAGACCAGTAAAGAAACAGATAGGAGCTGAAATCAAATGAAGAGAACTTTTGTCAGTCATAAAAATAAATTCAGTTTCAAAACTTCATTAGTACCAATTAAAATGAAAAGGAACTGAGCCACAGAGAGGGATTATTATTCACTAATGCTGTGAAACTTTTACTTCTGATGTTATCGGTTATCAAATATACAGCCTACTGGAAAGTATATATATTCTACATTAAAGTTTGATAGGTCATTTACAGAACTGCTTATCTCATTCAGGAATGTACACTGTAAAACAAAGATATTTAATGATAGTGTAATAGCTGTTAAGTTACCTTTGCATATATGTTGAACTAAAATATGTTTTTGTAAATATCTTTTAAGAACTGAAACAATCAAATGTACTATATTGTTTTAAGGTCTCTAAGACAGATCTGCTGAATAACACATAAACACTTGAGTAGTCATTAAATGAGTCCATGTTGAATTTGATTAAACTGGAAGATTCCTGGATCCAGGAAATTAAAACCATACACAATAACTTAGCGTTTTGTCTAGTTGGTATAAAACAGGTTATGTTATAACAAATATAATGAGAATTTAGATAATATGTAAAAATGTATTCATTAATGGAAGGGTTTCATTGGCAATTCTCATGTCTGTTTTTGGTCCTTTGACTTGAATACAGCAGGGGGATTCTGATAATGTTAGATATAAAGGCCTTTCCAAACCATGCACTTGATCAAGTTTGGAAATTAGGGGTAGAGGTCCCATTGAGGCATATTATTTACATTTTAAGTTTTTATTGCAGACAAAAATATAGTGGCCTATTTCCTAAGGAAAACAAAGAGTTATCATCCCTATAAAGTTCTTCCCTATAAAGATCAAATTTTATGTTGTACAAGCTTTCTTTTGTACCTGATTGAGACAGGCCTCCTCCTTCCCACTGCAAAGTCACCCATCCCTCAGCCCCTCCAGTGCCTCTGTGGTCACCAGCAACTCTTCAGGTACCTGCTCACACCAAATGGGAATTTCTGTTAGCCCAAGAATTTCCTCTCCACTTTCTCCAGGCATCCCTAGGAAATGCACCCTCTGTAGTTCACAGGGTTTGTTTTTTTTTTGTTTGTTTGTTTGTTTGTTTTTTTGAGACAGAGTTTTGCTCCTATTACCCAGGCTGAAGTGCAATGGTAAGATCTTGGCTCACTGCAACCTCTGCCTCCCAGATTCAAGCGATTCTCCTGCCTCAGCCTCCCAAGTAGCTGGGATTACAGGCGTGCGTGCCACTATGCCTGGCTAATTTTTTTGTATTTTTAGTAGAGACAGGGTTTCACTACGTTGGTCAGGCTGGTCTTGAACTCCTGACCTCAAGTGATCCACCCATCTTGGCCTCCCAGAGTGCTGTGATTACAGGCATGAGCCACCGCGCCCTACCTAGTTTGCAGTTTTTAAGTCTGCATATTTGAATGTTCCTAAAGAGAAACTTATTTTCTTTTTAGATCTGAATGGCATAGACTTAACTCCTGTGCAAGATACTCCTGTGGCTTCAAGAAAAGAAGACACATACGTTCATTTTAATGTGGACATTGAGCTCCAGAAGCATGTTGAAAAATTAACCAAAGGTTTGTAATCTTAACTAATAATTGGCTTCTTTATGGACAGAATTCTCATCTTATTTGTGTTTGTATGTATGGTGGACCTAGCATAGTTAGTATCTGGCAAAAGCAAATGTCACATAGTGTTTATTGATTTCAATAAAATATACGTATTTTTTAAATGTGAGAATTAGGAATTGTGTTATCTACTTGTCTGGTAACACTGTTATGTAGTAAAACAATCTTTAATAATAGAATTTTATTGTCTTTACCAAGAAAACAAAGTTTTTCACACATTAAAGGTCTGGGAGAAGCAGGAGTTCCCTAAGGCTCCCTGATGATTAAGTGTTGAGTATTTCTAGTATTTGGTAGAACGATAATTTGACTTGCAGTTAATTGTTAGGAAATAGGAAAGGACACAAATTTCTGAAATAGTGAGATTACATTTCCAAGAGCAGCTCTTAGGATTAAATACTTCCCCATGCTTTTCACCCAGTGAGAATTTCAGTGTTCCCCAAAGAGGTGGCTTCAGAATCCCTTTATCACCTGAGGGTTCAGTTGCAGTTTCTGAAATTTTCAAGCTCTGTAGGATATACAGGTGCCTTTTGAAATGACTGCCTCAGCTTCTGAAATATTTGATATTTCACTTCTCAAGTCTGGTTCTGCTGCCTCCTCTGTTCCTCCACTAAAAGACCTTTCAGTGCTTTTGTTACAACAGTGGTCCTCAGAATATGACCCCTGGGAGAGAGCAGCAGCAGCACTTCGAACCTTGTTAGGTGCCAACCCCAGACCGCCTGAATCCAAAACCGTGGGAACTGGCCTAGCACTCTGTTTTAGGATGCCCTCTAGGTGATTCCGACATACACCAAAGTTCCAGATGGCTGTGTTAGCAGACTGTGTATGTAGGAGTGCTTATTAAATATTGTTGAAGAAATTTCACTTATGAGTATGTCTTCTGAACAAAACTATTGATTTGTTTCATTTCTTTAACTCCCTTGCCTTAGAAATGTTTGTGATGTGGAGGGGAGAAGGTGAAGTGTTTCATGGGCTAACTTTTCTGTTTTATTACACTGCATTCTTTCTTAATGGCTTGACTCACCAGAAAATAAAAGTAGAACTAGATTCAGAATTTGACTGTATTGAATTTTCCCTAGCTTCCAACTTACTGTTTACAGTTACTGTAGTTCTAACTGATATTAGTGTTAATGAACATACTTTCATGTTTACAAACATTTTAACTTAATCTTCCCAGGATATTCTTATTTCATATTTTGTTTTTTCTTATAAATAGCATGATGAGGGACACAGGAAATATATTATTTACAGGTGATGCAGATTAATAATTTAACTTCCTCAAAATGATGGTAACATATTTGAACTTTAGCATTGTTTTCAAACATGGCTATCTTCACATTATTCAGACCTCAAGACACAACCATGAGGAGGAGATGGGTCTCCTAGCTGAAAAGACTCTGCTATCTTAAAAATCTCTGAGGTTTTCTAATGACAAAATGCCTCTGTGATTCTTGTGGGAGGGAGAAGAGAAGCCACCGTTTGTAGAAATGACAAGGTCACACACCTAGGGAAGAGATGTTACCAGTAACCTAACTTGTAATCCTTTCGAGCGTGTCGGGAGTGGATGGCTGAATATGCCCATCTCTCCCTCACCCACGTCTCAGGGGCTCCTGAGTGATTGGTTTTGCTTTCCCTCCTTGTCATGTGACATGCTCCATTTGGACCCAAGTGCCAGTGCTGTACATACGTTTCTGAACATTGCTAAACTTCTAGTGACTTGTGAGTTTTGTCATCAGTGAAAGTATTGAATGTGTGTTGTCTTTGAAAGCCAGGCTCCTGCCCTCCTCTGGTTAAGGCAGTGTTTAGAAGTAGTCAGTAAAGAGTGAGACTGATTTCCTTCCTTCATTTTTCATGCCTTCTTTAGAAATTCATTTTTCTTGGCCACATTGATGAGGCAACTTATTTCTCTCTTTTTAGCTTTTTTCTGCAGGATTGGGGGAAGAGTTTATCTGTTGGACTTTGGGGACATAGAACTGTCTAAATTTTTTTTTTTTTTTTTGAGACAGTGTCTCACTCTGTCACACAGGCTGGGGCACAGTGGCACGATCATGGCTTACTGCAGCCTTGATCTCTCCAGGCTCAGGTAATCCTCCCGAGTAGCTGGGACTACAGGCACACACCACCAAGACCGGCTGTTTTAAAAAATTTTTTGTAGAGGTTGGGGTCTTACCGTGTTGCCCAGGCTAGTTTCAAACTCCTGGGCTCAAGTGATCTGCCCACCTTGGCGTCCCAGAGTGCTGGGATTACAGGCATGAGCCACCACGCCAGGCCAGAACTGTCTGAATTCTCATTATCACTTGCTCATTGGAGGAGAGGGGCAGAATAAATAGACTTGCTCTTTGAACCTTTGTCTTCCACAGCACTGTCTTAACACAAACATGCAATTCCAGGAAAAACATCAGAACAGTGCTTTGARTACTGAAAAAGTTATTAAGGAAAGRGGTAACATTTTRCAGCTGAACCAGCMTGTGATTTATGTTGTTTGAATTCCAAAATACCACCAAGATTKAAGTTTTGAGTTTTTGCTTTRGGGTAAGGGAAATGATTCAAGCTTAATTTTTTTTAGGAACTCTTTTAAATGCATTTTCTACCTAAGGAGTTTCTATGGGTGTTGAAGTATCYTTGTTCTTCTATGGTATTTCATGTTTTATAGCAGCTTGTGATTCTACCTGTGTACATAACTGTTATACATGCTTGAGGCAGTCTAGCTAAAGAAGTTTTGCTACAGTCGGTAGAAGTGGATGATAAGGAGACATGTCACTCTACTCAGATACAGAAGAGTTTGGGGTGACAACCATATTAAGTTATTGTCAAATCATTGAGACTGGCACAAGTTGCTTTATTAAATTATGCCAGCCGTAGCTTTTCAGATGCTTCTGGTGATCAAAGAAAATGAATTGACACACCAGTGGTTTATGTGACTTGTTTTAATTCCTTAGGTGCAGCTATCTTCTTTGAATTCAAACACTACAAGCCTAAAAAACGCTTTACCAGCACCAAGTGTTTTGCTTTCATGGAGATGGATGAAATTAAACCTGGGCCAATTGTAATAGAACTGTAAGTGATGCGCATATAGAATTAGTACTAATGTGATGGTGACTAGTTTATCTTTCTTCTTAATCCCCCATATCCAGTATTTAACCCTGGAATAATTTAGTATTTTAAACAATGGTCTTTCTGTTGTAATTACAGATACAAGAAACCCACTGACTTTAAAAGAAAGAAATTGCAATTATTGACCAAGAAACCACTTTATCTTCATCTACATCAAACTTTGCATAAGGAATGATCCTGACATGAAGAACTTCTGTGAATTTTACCATTCAGTAGAAACCATCATAGCTCTGTGTAGCATGTTCACCCTTCAACAGGCAGGAAGCAAGCCGTACCCAGACCAGTAGGCCGGAGGGAGTCCTTTGCAAACCTGTACCACAGAATCAAAGTCCAGCACATCACTGATGTATAAGACTCCTTTGGATACAGGTCTATTATAGATTTTGAAACATGTTTTTACTTTTATATTAATTGTGCAATTAATAGTCTATTTTCTAATTTACCACTACTCCTACCCTGCTTCCTGGAACAATGCTGTTGTAGGATGTGCTCATCTTCAGACTTAATACAGCAATAAGAATGTGCTAGAGTTTACACATCTGTTCACTTTTGCTCCAATATGCTCTTTTGATTTAACTTCAAGCTTTGGGTTGATGTGGGTAAGATAGTGTCATACTGCTTTGAGAGGAATTGGACCAGTTCTGCTGCCTAAGAAGGTCTGTCTGGATATTTATAGGCTGCTCCTCCGAAGTGGCCTAAATTCACCCTGATCTGATAGTTTTTCCTGCTTAGAAAGTGTGCCTTGGCCAGATCAGTATCCCATAAGGGAGTGTTCCCTAGGTTGTAGCTGTGATTGTTTCCAGATGACCGGATTGTTTTTCCGAAAGTGAGCATATTTTTAGTCATGTTGATTAGCCGTTCTTCTACATCACATTATTACTCTTTCTGATGATGATTCTAGGGTTAACATTGGAACCATCTCAACAGAATTACAAATTTTTAGACGGGTTTACAATATCTTCTAAATAATGTAATCTAAAAATAATTGAGTCAGATGCTAACGAGATACTGCAGGCGTAACTGCTGTTTTTCTGACAACTGATTGTGAAACCTTAAAACCTGCATACCTCTTCTTATAGTGAGGAGCATGCAAAATCTGGAAAGATATTCTATTTTTTTTATATAGGTAGATAGGATCGCCATTTATTTCCTATTCAGATATACTGACATTCATCCATATGAAAATATGCAGGTCATTAGCGTACTATAATTTGACTATTTACTTTTGACTTAATGGGGCATAAAGAAAACTTTCGTAGTACACATGAGGTGGATATTTGATACACAGAACGTTAAGATTTGTGGTGGGCTTTCTGTGGGTTAGATGTAAAGCCCACATATTTTAATATTCACTATTTTAAATGAGCAGTGCATGAGGGGAATGCAGTGTCAGTACCTGGCCTATTTTTAAACTAGTGTAATCACCCTCGTCATACCATTCAGTATGTTTGCTTTTTAAAATAAGTAACCACAACTAAGTTGTTTTAGCCCTTGCACTTCAAGAGATCTAGTCTTTACTTTCAGTTGTCTGTTAGGTCCATTCTGTTTACTAGATGGATGTTAATAAAAACTACGTGAGCCTGAAAGAATTCTCAGCCAAATTTCGTCTTGTCTCTCATCTTGGTTCGATTAATTCCAAATCCTAAAATGATTCAGTCCACAATAGCTCTAGGGGATGAAGAATTTGCCTTACTTTGTTCACTCAGTTCTTAAGACTGTGAGTTGTCAAACCCTAGACTGTAAGCTCTTCAAGGAGCAAGAAGCGCATTTTCTCCAGGTCATGTAATTTTTCTAAGGTGCTTGACAGCACTCTGTACCCTGTGGAGTACTCAGTACCTTTTGTTTGATGTTGCTGACAAGACCTAAAAAAACAGTCCCTTAAAAATACCCATTAAAATGTAGCAAAAACGATGTATTATTTTTTCTCTTTTCTCATAAACCATAAGATATGTATATCAAAGCGATAATTTATATGAAGCATCTGCTATCCTTCACATAAGTATGGTTTATATGAACTACAAATACCTTTCATCAACATTAAAGAAGCTTAAATTTAACACTGTGTGATTAGCTTAACTTTAATTCAGCCCTGAATGTAACAACAAAAGAATGAGGGATTGTCTTGAAGTTGACACAGAATATACCACATCCCACAAATTATTTAAATTTAGTTTCCAATGAAAAAAATCGGCCACTGATGATATAACAACTGTAGTAGAAATGTTTTTAGGCTGAATGTTACTGCTTCATAATAAGTCAATTTTAGCAACTAAATCCAGACACAATTAGTTGGCGATGACTTCTGAAGGAGATGAAACTTTAGAGATGGAGAAGTTGACTGAGGGGTGATACTCCCTGTACCATATGCATGTTGGCACCCTGCTTGCGCTTTGCTGTAGAAATGGTGCAATCGGATGTGAGAGGAAGCAATTATGGACTGGTTCACAACTTCTCAGATAAGCTACACTGGAATCTTTATAGTTTACCAATTCCTCAATGATATCAGATACAGAAAAATCACCAAAAAAGGCTTTAGAGGGGGAAAAATAATTTTGAGCTTTAAAAATGGATTTAATTTACCTTTCCTACTTACCTTCCTAGATGGCATAATCTACATTTAAATGAGATTTAAAATTAGAAACTGGCCGGGCTCGATGGCTCACACCTGTAATCCTAGCACTTTGGGAGGCCGAGGTGGGCAGATCACCTGAGGTTGGGAGTTCGAGACTGGCCTGACCAACATGGAGAAACCCCATCTCTACTAAAAATACAAAAAAAATTAGCCGGGCGTGGTGGTGTATGCCTGTAAACCCAGCACCTCAGGGGGCTGAGGCAGGGGAATCACTTGAACCTGGGATGCGGAGGCTGAGGTAAGCGAGATCGTGCCATTGCACTCTAGCCTGAGCAACAAGAGCAAAACTTTGTCTAAAAAAAAAGTAATAATAATTAGAAACTATTAACTTCAGCAGTGTTTTGTATTCTAAAGAGATTGACAGATAAACTCAAAAGCTGTATTTGTGACCTAATCTTATTTTACATGGTCAAAGTGGCCTATGCCCTCTATGGAGCTTTCCTCTTAATCTATTCTTGATATTAAATGAGAAGAAATACAGACTGAATTCTCTTTTCCTGAAGAATTCATATATTCCTTATGAACTGTGAAAGAGTTGCCTTCTTTCAAAGGTCCTTATCTTTCTAAACTATCTTTAGTCGTTTAGTATAAAGAGAAAATTTTGTTTCATGTCAAAGCTTTTGCTCCTTTATACAAGGTATTAATCGATTAAATATTGAAACAGTGACAAGTCATACTCTAAGTTTCAAAAATATTACATCATAGGGCTTTAAAGAAAGGAAGAATATAGCCTAGCAATTAAGGAAAGTATCTGCCTTTTATGAGTTTAAATCTAAATCTTAAACTCCTTAAAAGGAGTGCTATTACTATTGTAATTAAAATATCTGAAGAGTTCTTAGAAACATAGTTTTTAAAGAAACATTGTTTTAAAGACACTGTGTAGTAATGGATAAGACTTTTAAGTATGGTGCAATTCCAGATAGTTAATGATTTTTAAATGAAAGCACCAATGTTTAAATAATTTTGGAATCTGTCATCCCTGCTTCCCCCCCAAAAAAAGAATTAATTTCAACCCTTGGTTGCTGACCTAGGGCATGTTGTAAGCCTCACAGCCCTACATCATTCTTTCTCATGGCATTATACTTTTCCAATCTTTTTATTATATTCCTTGAAAATCGGTGGCAAGGTATGGGAAAGATAAGAGACCGTACATTTAAAATTTTTTTAAAGATTTCAGTACTTTTATGACACATCGTTTTCCCTTTTCTGTTGTGCACCCTTTCTACAGGAATGGTAAAAGCAATAGAATATCAGGTCAAACAACTCTTGCTACTAATGTAAACTCACTCACTCTCTGAAAACCATCCTCAAATAGACAATGAGTATCACAAAGCAAGCATGTGAATGCTACACAAGTGGGAACCCACTAACTTCTTTGAAATAAAAAGACATCACTTCTTGTAGAGTTCACAGATGACTGAGGGGAGCAGCCGGAAGTGTGCTGCCAGCCACCATCTTCAGTCCTAGGAGACTGAGTTTACATGTTTTCCAAATGGCACAAGCCTCCTAACAGTCCAATGAATCAACAGACACTTGGGAAATATTAATAAACAACTTTTTATGAACTATTACTACAAAGAACTTCAGCAAGAGGGGAGAGAAAGTTTAGTGATCTTTTAGTAAACATTTTTAGCGTAACAGTCTTTGGGACCAGATAGCTTAAAAAAAGAAACAAAAATGCTTATAAACACCATTGCTCTGTATTCAGCTGGTGTACACTAAAAACAGGATGATGGAAATACATGTTCTTAAAGCATTTCCACAGGAAATGTTCATATTTTTCATGACATTCTAAATCATTTAGCAATTACAATGCTACATTAGCTAAAACACAAGTATTCTTTATTGCACATTTCAAAGTAGTAAGGATGCTATAGCTTAAAAGGTGATTTTTATTTAGGGAAGAAATGACATTTCTGAATTGTTTGGCTCGAAAATGCATACTGCCAAGGCAGCTTAGTTCTAACAACAGATCTTTTAAAATAAACTTGGATTTTGAAGCCAATGAAATCCTTTATTGTAATGAATAATGCAGTCCATTTTTTCTCCAATGAAACATCAGAGGTCATAGTTATGGGCTCTGCTTTAAAACCGGTGAACAGTCCTGACTAGTGCTCTGAGAGGCAGGAGGAGGCTCATCTCTAGAGCCTGGCGGCAGTAAGTCTCTGGAGGCAGGTGGTGGTGGGTAATCCTGGGGAACATGGGTTGGGGGTGGTAATCGGGTACCGGGAATAAAGTACTCTCTTGGGCCAAGAGGACCTAAAGGTCTAAATGGTGCGTGTCCTGGTAAAAATTCCCGAGGGTGGAGTGGCAGGTCCCGTTTTCCTGGTGCAAATTCTCTTAAGCCTAGTGGTGGACGCATACCAGGGCCTGGAAAACAAAAATTATGTTGAGTAAATTCCTAGGAATATAGCTAAATTAAGACAATGCCAGGTATGTTAATATATTCTGTCATCTTTTTTTTTTGGAGGCAGGGTCTTGCCTGTCAGCCAGGCTGGAGTGGAGTGAAGTGATCATGGCTCACTGTAGCCTCAATCTCCTGGGCTCAATCGATCCTCCCCCCTCAGACTCTGAGTAGCTGTGATGATAGGTGCAAACCACCAAACCCAGCTAATTTTTGTATTTTTTTTTTAAAAGACAGGGTTTCACCATGTTGCCCAGGCTAGTCTCAAACTCCTAGGCTCAAGGGATCCACCTGCCTCAGCCTCCCAAAGTGCTGGAATTACAGGCGTGAGCCGCTGTGCCTGGCCTGTCATCTTTATCTTGAGATAGATTTGTACTTGGAAGTACTATATACCATAACAAGAAGACAGACTAAATATGGCTTCATTGCAACAAACATTTTGATAAATTCCATTGTTTACTATTGTATATTAAAAATTTATGTAGTAGCTCAACATATACCTAATACATGCCATAAAAATCAAGGTGCTTGCCCTGCTGGAAACGGTCTTCCAGCTTCATCTAATTAAATCAGCAGCATTCATGAGATAGCAGTTAAATTCTACCTTCTCTTTCATATCCCCCTCCTTTGTATTCCCCAAGGCGAGGGTTGAGGGTTTTATCTTTCCCTCTCTAATATTCTGTGACCCACTGCTTATGCTTCTGTTATGGGTGATTAGAAGCTTTATGTTGTAGATTGTGTATATCTGTGCCCTACAGGACATCTTAATTAGGGCATGTGTTTTATCTACCTTGCTATCCATTGCAGAACCTAGTACACAGCCAGAGATGTTCAAAAAACATGTGCTGAATATTTCTGGCTTACTGTAAATAGCCCCTTTCCTTGTTCTATTAGAGACAATTATTGCCCATCTAATCACAGGACATTATGCAGCACCCTTTGTGTCTTAAGAAACTTGGGAAGAAGTTACAATGCACTCAGTCAGTTTCATCGCTGCATTGCAAAGCCCTGCAATTGCAGTTGTTTTGGCAAGGGAGAGAGAGAGAAGATGACTATGCTTTACAAGTTAAACACTACTGTTCAGATCATCTTACCAAAGGGTGGAGGAATTGGCCGAGGCCCGAAAGGTCCACAGAGCTGAGGTGGTGGCCCGTATCGAATGGGTGGTGGTACAGGGCCTCCCATGGGGGTGCTCATAAGAGGGACTCCTGGGAAAGGAGGGGCCCCTTTTGGAGTCATATTAACCTGCAGAGTAGAAGAATTGAAGTTTTGAAATACTCTGGTATGACAGACAAAAGTACCAACACCAGTAAAAACTAAAACCCAAAGAAGCAGATGTCAGGCACTTGTCCAAAGAGCAGAATTAGTGCAACAACTACCACTCTCATTTGTTCCCACGGACAGCTTGGAAAGGTTAACAGTATGTCACAGGAGCGAACACTTTTGCTATAATCGTATTATTGCTTATATCTGCAAATGGAAGGGAAAGCAGAGGTTATAAAGGGAAGCCATTCCTAATACTATTTCTAAGGCAGTCACTCCCTCTGCACATCCCTCCCATCAGAATAATTTCCATATTTAGAATGCAGAGAATGAAAGGAAATGAAAAATGCATTCTCTACCATGTAATAGCAATTATTCAGAGTACCTTCAATAGGCCTTACATATGTTAACTCGAATTTTCCTATCTCTAAATCTCTAATAGGACCATCTTGTTCTAAATATACAGGAACACAGGCACAGAGAGTATTAGATAATTTACTGACAGTCACACAGCAGGTAAGAAGCTGGGCTGGAATTCAATGCCAGATTTGACTCCAAGGCCATGTTCTTTCCACCTCTACTTCTCCTCTCTAACAAAGTAGTCTCTACTCTCTTTGAAGTCTTCTACTTCAAAGGGGTCTTGGGTCTTATCCAAGCTGCCCTCATATAAAAAGATTTCTCAAGAGAGGTGTATTCCTCGAGTCATGTGCTGGAACTCCAAAGTATGTTCCAAGAGAAACAATGTTATATACACAAATTACACAGGCACACTCTATTTACCTTCATTCACAAGTAATACCGTCTACTATGAGACACTGACTAATCATTTCCTATGGGAAAGTGGTTTGGAAACTCTCAATCATTAAAATAAATGTACTTTGATTTCAATACAGAGAAGCATGATGAGGTATGATCAGAGGACTTACCAACCTTAACAGCTACACAAGTTACAAGAGAATACACTTATGTGAACACTGTTTAAGGACACTGCTGAGAACTGGCTCAGTGGGTAATTATAGACTTCCACTATTCAGTACTTCACGTCCAACAAACATTCTTCTGTTATCAATCTGTAATTTCAGATCATTCAAAATAGGTTTTGCCTAGTATACAATTGGAGATAATCTTAAATAGCACATTTCCAAATGAAGACATAATAATGAATTACACAATTTACAATGAATTTACTTTGCATAAGAGCATTAACACTGAAATACAGAAGAGTGGGGATTTTGCACTTTTGTTTAAGTTAATTACAGTTACAGCAAACGCTCTAACAGGTTAAATGTCTAACCAAACAGGAGAGAGGAGAAAAGGCCAACAAATCAGTCAGATTTCAGCACCACTCCCAAGTCAAGGACAAAAGTAAGATCAATATCGCCAGGCAATTTATAGCCCAGTTCAGTCCACACTCTTAAGTACTTACTGCTACTGGATGCTCGGCCGAAGATGTAATGCTGGGAACTGAGGGGACTTCAGGCTCTTGGATAACAGTTTGCTTTTTTAGAAAAATAAATGAGACAGTACAGATAGAACACACCAATAGGAGATGAAGCAAAGAGAGAGTTGTGGGAAAAGCCAAATGCTCTTGAAATAACTATTCAAAATGGGTACATTTACCTTGCCTTCACCCATCATCCTGGTAGGGGAAGAGCCCCTTGAACTGTTGTTCATCATGGCAGCTGTACCAGATCCTGGATCTGTTAAAGACCAGAGAACTGACGTAGGCTTATTCTGACTTGTGTACTCTATGAGGAGGATAAAAAAATCCTCTCCCCGCTTCCTGCATGGTTTTAGACTCTTTAAACACTCTTGCTCCCTTACCAGAAGGAGAGGCTTTCCCAGATGCCTCAGCTGACCATCGAGGATGAGGCGGAGGCCCGTCCACAGATCCTTGTGAAAGAAATAACAGAGCCCTTGTATGTATTTTTCAGAAGAAATAACAAATTGTAGACAGGTTAGGGTTCAAGTCTATCTGGAAAGTAACATTAAAAACGGGTCTCCCGATACTCATGAAGGCAAATCATTTATAATTTATGCATGGACTTAAAGAATTAAAATAAGAAATGCCTTGCACTGAAAGAACAATAAACCCTGCACATTAATGGCTCTGGTCTACACTTCAAGCTATAGACTTCTATATACAGTATTCTACATTATGATTTTTGTTCAGTGTATATGTAATCTGACTTCCATATCTTAGTATTATAGACATATTTAGGATTCAAAATAGACTCAACGGCATTTCATACTATAGTAATGAGAAGTGGAAACATGTATGCCTCATAAACTATAAAGTTACTAAGGCAAATACAGTTGATTCTTGAACAATGCAGGGGTTAGGTGTGCTGATCCCCTGTGCAGTCAAAAACCCACGTGTAACTTTTGACTCCCCAAATCCTACCTACTAATAAATAGCCTACTATTAACCAGAAGTCTTACTTACCAATAACATAAACAGTTGATTAACACATATTCTGTATATATATATTGTATACTGTATTCTTACCTTAATAGAGTAAGCTAAAGAAAATGTTACTGAAATCCTAAGAGGAAATGTATGTACAATACTGTATTATATTTGTCTATACTATAAGTGTACAGGATCTGTTTACAAGATGAATCATCTGACAGAAATGACAGATGACTGCTGCTGCACACTCCAATCTATGGTACATATCAAAGCAATTCAACCTTTCTAGTAATATCATGACTTTGCTTCTTGAGAATACTTCCGGCATCACTAGTGGCATTTTATATGGGTCACATGGTGTTATTCAAGGTTTATGTTATTGCACTAAACATAAAAAATACACAAGAACTGTGAGAGATTATGTTTACATGGAGATTAACATCACATGGTGTTTAAAGCGGATACTCGCCACACTTGAGCTCACTGCCATAGCAACCGGAGGTGGCTATGAAATTATTATAGTACAGTGTGTACTACAGCTAATTTTATGCATTTATGATTTAATACTGCGTCTTTACATGTGTTTACTTTCTCTCCATTGTGAATGGTGTCATGTATATCTGTGTTTGTGTATGCAAGTTTTGATAAACTTTTTAAAATAGATTTTTGTATATTTTACAATAGTATATGATAAAATAGACTAGTATCTACATATATTTTATGTATTCATGACATACCTAAATTTTTTTTAAATATTTCTAGGCTGTGTGGTTCATCTGCAAGTTCTTTCAAATTACTGTGAAGTTCCAAAAAATTTCCCAAGGTATTTTTTGAAAAAACTCTGCATATAAACGGACCTGCACAAGTCAAAGTGTGTTGTTCAAGGGTCAGCTGTATTTGGGAGAGGAATCCCACAGAACTTTAATTTAAAGATAAAGGCTTACACTTCATAGTAAAAAAATTAAAAAGAAACAATAAAATGACCTCATGGGAAATAATAAATGCTTTCTGTTCTAAAACAAACCTTGCAGTTGAATACTTATCCACCAAGACAAATTAAGAAATTTTCTTTTCTATACTGGACAGACCCAAATTCTAAAGTGTTGTTTGCATTAGAATCCTCAAATAAAAGGGAAAAAGCCACCTGAAACAGTATTGCAAGGAAACATATGAATGCTCACCAAATTCACTTCTAGGCATTTCTCTTCGACTGAGAGTAGCAGAGAGCGGTCTCACAGGTGGCTCCACTGTCAGTGGAGGGGAGCATTCTCCACCACTCACAGGGGATGGGCCAAAAGAGCCATTCTGGCTCAGAGGACCTAAAGATGACAGCGTCTTGTTACCATTTTAAGACAGCCTTTTTTTCTTAAGTTTTTGGGATTATTTCTAGGGTATCATAACCATTACACACAGAAACAAAAGGCATTTATATACATTTTACACCAAAAATAGATTGTTGCCCTTTACAAGGTCCTCCCTTACCTCTCCGGGGAGGGTTTTGTGTATTTGGTCTTCCCGGCATTGGTTTTACAATCACAGGTTCTTCTTGCAGCATTGCCATCTTTTGTGTTAATTCTAATAATCTTGAATATAGAGAAAGAGTATTTAAGAAAGACTTAAATATGAAACAGAAACCAATTCCTTAAGAGATAACACTGAAAACATAGGCAACAAAATCACATACTTGTGTCTCAGGTTGGTAGCTTCCCTTTTCTCTTCAGCTATAGCTCTTTCTGCAGCACGAGCTTTCAGCTATTGAAGAAATATATTCAAATTAAGTTCTAGGAGACTATGCACCAAATAAAGGAAAGAAAAAAGAAATCTTACCCAGTTTTCATGAGCTTTCTTCTCATGGGTAGCGATCTGAAAAAGATAATACATCACAAAATATGCTTACAGATTCATTATAATAGCCTGTATTAATTATCAAAGAATTCTGGGCACTAAATAGGAGACTAGAATCATTACCTGGTTTTTAAATAACCGCTCTGTTTTCTGTAATTCATCTTCCATTTCTTCAATTCTCCGCCTAAGAATTACAGTTGGCTTTATGAGTTACAGCACAACCAAATAAAAACCCAAACAATATGACTATGTTAATTAACACTTACCCTAACAACGGTACCCTAATAGAGCTACTTTAACTGTTCCTAAATATGTTTCTCAAGTAATCCTGTTATCTTCCACTATAAACCTTTTTTTCCTTTTTTCATCCTTTAATTATATCGTAAAAAAATTTCCCAAAGTTAGGACTACTGGGTCTATCAAATGGCAAAATCGCTTTAACGGCTTTTGATACATCATACAACAAACTGCCCCCCTCCCTGCCCCTACCCCTAGAACTGTTTGCATGAACCAAGTTCCCTTACAGTTTTGCCAGCACTGGGTATTTGTTAATATTTTTCCATTTATTAACTTAAAATTTAGTTTTTCTTTTGTGTGAATTTATGTATTCATGTCCTCTAACCATTTATTTATGCTTTTGTGC